TCGGCGGCGCCTTTCAGCAACAGCCATCGCCCGACCGCGCGAAACGCACGTTATTATACCGGTGTGTATCAGTGTGTGCATGGCGCACAGTTGTGTACCGGCGAGGTTGTTATATATTTTTTTATTCCCAAAAAAAAAAACAGAATTCAAATTGTCATAAAATGTTCCTTTAAATGTTTGTTTGGATTAGTTGAAATTTGTTGGAATTTTCCCTTTTGTTTTTGGCTTTTCCTTCATAAAACAAACAAAAATTGACTACAGCAGAATTAAAAAAAAAAAATGTTTAACCCTTCTAAGGAAATTATATATTTTAGTTTGTCAACGTTATCGACTGTAGTTTAACTGAAGAATATTCCATACAAATTTGGAACTAATTAGAACTTTGTTAAAAATGTTAATTTTAAGTTTAAAGTTGGTTGGGTGTTTCTCCGAAAAGGAAGGAGTGAACTTTTCTACTTTTAAATCTAACCAAAAAGGATATCATGATTGATTTTGTAATACAATTTTTCGTTGTCCAGTGGGTTATTTATTTATGATCAATTCACCAGGACATAGATGTGTACTGTATCTATAAATGGGACTGATTCCTTATAGTTTATCTAGTTTTTTACATTCTGATAATTTTTTTTTATAACACCTGTAATCACGTCTATTGATATTACCACTTATAATAGTATTGTTGGTAGCCATTCACATATTATCACTTTACTCGAGTCTCTTTGGCGTCAATTTATTTTATAAATTAAAAAAAAAATGATAATACCTTCTCGGCTATCGAATTGAAGTCAACCAATGTGGACCACCTTGTTGTGTGTAGTGGAAAATGTGTTTCGATTGAATTTTGCACGCACAAGTTTTAAGTGCCCATTGAAATAACAATGGCCCAGACTTGTTTGGTGGTGCTTGTTTTTTTTTTTTTGTAAAAAAACTTTTCAATTTATCGCCCAGTGCCGTCGTAAAACCCAAACGACTTTACACTACCGACTCACGTGGAAATTGCATATTAAACGGACCGTCTCGGCGGCATTAATATTATATGATTCCGCCCCCCCCCCCCCCCCCCCAAAGCCACTTCCCGGCCAAAGTCTCAGGTGTGTACGGTGACTTTTTTAATCCAGGTCCGGGCACGTAATAAAAAAAAATTCAAATAACTTCACCGCCGAGCCCGGTAAAATCAATACCGTTTTTTTTGGTTTTTGGTTGCAATTCTTTTGTCTCGGCGTAGTACTTACTTCCGAAATCGTTAAGAGTTACAATGTGCGCCTATCCCGGGGGACAAAACCCGGTACACGCTTCGAGTTTCACTTAGCCTCGTTGTGCCCGAAACGAGTACCTGCACAACTTTTACGACCCTACCGGAGGTTATTGGAAACCCCAATTTCCCCGGGAAATCCACAGCGGGTTGTCGCTGAAATATGACACTTCAAAATTACTTTCTTGATCAAATTGTTTTTTTATCAAGTCAAAAACCATTGGAACTGATTACACTGATGGCTTGCTAAAAAAAAATGTTGTCAAGAAATATAAAAATAAAAATAATTTCGAGTGTCATATACTTTAGCTTGAAGAATATTTTTTTTTCAAATTACAAAAAATGTTGATTCTATTTAAAGTTGGAGAATTTAATGCAAAATTTAAATTTACAATCAAATGCATGAAGAAGTACTTAGGGTCAAGCAAGAGAATAGGAATTTAAATTATCGATAAAAAAAGGTAAGACGTAGGAAAAACCAATAAAAATGTTAAAAACCGTCTACAAGGTGTGCATTGTTGTTATTACAGGTTGTATAACTTATTTATATTTTGGTTATAAGTTCTAACAATGATTTTACAATACTTATACATAAAAAAAACGGTTTAAATATACATTGAAAGCGGCAACTTAATACGTCATGCAGAAAGATCAATATTATATTTATTTACCAAGATCATATTATATTTAATTATGGGAGCTATTAAACCGTAGCTTGTAGACTGGAATGGTACGCAAAAAGCATTAAATTGTAACTAATATTGTGACTAGGAACATGCATATTAAATTTTGCAAGTAAACATGGACAGTTATTAAATCCATTCATAAATAAAACCGAGATGAAATCTTATCATTCTTGGGGTGTTGGAGTGGAAGTTTTAATTATTTAAATATTGTGCCTAGGCAAAATGGGGAAAAGTGAAATCATCAATAGGCTATTTTTTTAGGTTTAAAAGGAACTGAGCGGATTTGGTTTGGTCAGGGATCCAATCATAAAAACATCTGGATAGTGACTTGATATTTAATTTTTGTACAATGGTTTTTTTTTCCAATTAAGGTCTTTAGAAAGATGCACATCCTTAAGCATGTTTTGCACAAACGAAAAAAATATAGCACACTCTTTATAAAACATTCAAACTTGGCGTCGTTTGGCTTCGAACGTGTCACAGTGAATGGCTGTTAAATTATTTTTAATCTTAACCGTCAAACGGTTCATAAGAATTATGTAGGATCTGAAAAGTCACGAGCAGAGCTGTTATTGTTGACTTTGTGTATGCAACGTGTATTGTAACGTCAAGTTGTAATTTTGCCTGTTGAGTTATAATAGTTTATAAGTCGAGAAATGAAAAATAGTAAGACTTTATTTCGGCGGTTCGTTTACTTGCAATACATTTTTACCTAGGAATTATATAAGATTTTGTTTTTTTGGAAACATCCAACATATTATTATATTATATACTTAAATATATATTACAACACAACATCATTGTGTATGACGTGATGTATGCCACGTTATGTTATGGTGCATAATATTATTTTGACCTACATTGTACAATAATAATAATTAGTCATAACTCGATATATCATAAACAAAAAAACAAAAATTACTTATAACAGATTATTGTAAGTACACCAGAAAAATTGTAAACAATCAACATTCTTCAGAAAAAAAACAAAAAAGTAGACCGGACACACAAAATATGATTCCACGCGGTTTACCATTTTAGAAATTCTACAAAATTGGCTGAATAGCACTAGACGGTTTCGGATTTTGTTTTTTTTTTAAAGACAAGTTGTGTTTTTTTTTTATCATTCAACATAGTAAAGTGTATATTTACAGTAAAATTGTAAAAAATGTCAACTGTTGTTAGATGTAATGTACTTAAACAAGTGTGTTTATTTTTTAATAAGAGGTTTATTTTTATAAACCTCTTAATAAAATTATGCAAGTTCGGTTTAAATGTACATTTATACAAAATATTGTTTTATAAATTAAACATATAGTTAACCAAATAATAAAAACTTAGCTCGGTGCAAATCGACATAGCCCATTATTATAAAAACCAATATCTTTGCATAATTTTTTCAACGTTAAAAATATAAGATAATGTTATTAAACAGTTTTAGCCTAGTTTCATGTTTCAAAAACTTAAACTACGAACAAATTTCGATAGCAAAAGAATTATCACACAAAAATATCATAATTTTATTAAACGATTAAAAATTGTTTTTCGTGTTGATGTTTTAAAATATTATTTAAAATGGTAGCTCTATAAACTAAAAGGCCACACGCATATTTTATTAAAACTAGAATACTGCAGTTAAATTAAAGACTGGTCGATAATTAGTTTTTACTAAATATTTACTTATCCAAACTTTAAATTCACACCAATTGCAATGTGTTCAATCAAAACTGGTTAACGACCGGTAATTAATGTAATTCCTAATTAAAATATATAGGTTGATTTTTAATAGATGCCCTTTAAAAACAAAAATAGTTTTTACTTAAATATTAAATTTTATTTTTTATAATTTAATGGCGACCTAACGTTAACCTCGTTAAGCCAAAACAAAATCACTGTAACATGAAATTTGATTAATAGTCCAGTTTATATTATGTTGAGCAATTTTTCGACTAATTTTATTTATAATACAATTGAGACGGAAAATTACCATGGTTTACTTGTTTTGCTGCACACTGGCCTTGCATAATTTCCGCTGGTTAGGTTATGTTAGGTCAACCTTCCTTAACATTTGAGGCGCTTAGTAGAAAAAGAGCCCAATTTCAAATAATGATTTTTTTTAACAAATACTTTATAACTTAACCTAATTTATTACCATTTAATGGGTTGATTTATTTGTTAAATTTTAATAAAGGAATTTTTTTTAAAGTTGTAAAATTGGGCTTTTGTACTAATCAAAACTTTTAAAATTGAAATTTTATATTTATTTAATACAAAAAAAAAACATTATTTTCGGTGAGAAATATAAAATTTTTATTCAATATCTTGCAAAATATTATATTAATATGCTTGTAAAAAATTAAACAAACATAAAAGTGTCGTATAGAAAACAACAAATTAACTTTGTAAGACTTTTTTAATCACGGTTGTACTAACAAAGTCCCAACTGATTGCAGATGTTTACAGTATGTTCTGGCTATGCAAACTGGGCCAATATTTTACACCAATATAACAAATAAAATAAGAAAAAACGTATTTTACAAAAAAAAAAAAAAGCCGAATCGGAAGTGTCTTAATTTTGATCGATTTCCCCGTACTCCTTTTTGGTCTGTGGCCGGTGTGACCAAGGCCAAGACATTGGATCGGATGTGGAAATGCGATTTTTGTTTTGCCCCAACAAAAGGCACGTCGTTTCCATGGCCCGCGATCGAAATTGTCCGTTACCACCGAGACAGAATATCGCGTTATTACACGTTATTATTACCTATCATTATTGTAGCTGTTATGCCTTTAATAATAATAGCTGGTAGGACTATAAAGGTACGGCGGCGGCGGCGGCGGCCGCCATCCGCAGGTAAAGCCGGGGCCGGCCGGCCGGTTAGACGGTGTTCTTATAGCGCAGCATAGGCAGGTACTACTACTATGTAGGTTTTTTATACATACACATATTATTATACACTCATCGTGTTGTTCCCCTCCATCGTGCTGCGCCGTATTACCTACATATAATATGATATTATTTGATGTTGTTGTACCGAGATCCGCGGTAAACGGTTTGCCGCACAACAGTCGGCCGGACCGCAGCGGTCGGTATTCCGTTTGTGCGCCAGCGCGGTTGCCCCGTCGTTCCTCTAGTGTTGTTTTTTTTTTTTTAAATCGTACAAAAAATCCCCCAAAAAATATTTTAAAAAATGTTCGACCGCCCGAAAACGGCGTACGCGTCCGTCGGCCGGTGAATATTATAGTTTTTTACAGGGAAAAAAAAAAAGGATACAAACGTCTTCGAAACAATAGCCATCATGTATTCGGCCAGGAACAGGAACGCCGTTTTCGCAGGTAATTGGGCTAAAAACCCTCTGGGGCCTCGCCGGGGGGGGGGGGTGTTTCCCCAAACGAACCTCTATCGCTTCTCAAATTGGTCATCGCAAAAGCGTAACACTCCAAAGAAAAATTTTTCTAGGCCCATAAAACACTGCACTTACCGACATTTGGCCTGTTAGATCACGATTTGCACAAACCATGTCATCCATAGTGTTTGTACACAATTCTCTCCAATCTAAACTAATCTTTTTTTTTTTTTTATACATTAGCCGGGGTGGTACCAGCAGCACTGTCTAATATTACAATATCACTACGTCCCGGAAAGACACATGCGCTTAGAAATGGATTAGATGATTAGGACAAAAATCCACTAACACCTGCTGACTCTGCGTTAGTTTCCTTTGGTCGGTCAGGTCATAGCTTATAGCGGCCGGTTTTTAGTTTTAAACATTTTTTTTTTCTGCACCATTTTGTCGCCTTTTCCCGTCTGGAAATTGCCGGCGTTTTCGAACAGGTGCCCCGACCGGATGGTGTAGGCTAAACCGGTGGTTATGGCCCGCAGTAGGTGTTCACGGCGTGTGGGATTATCCGTGCCTACTAATATAGTGTGTATAATACCTATAATAATAACCATAACGTTTAAACACACTTTCTTGGGGCCCGAGAAACGATCACGCATTCCGGGACCAAAGCATCGGTTCATTAATATACATTAATAAGTACTTCTATCCGTTTACCGTAGACCGGACTCGGGGATTCGGTGTGTGTTATTATAACACCGTTTTGTATTTTATGTAAATCCATCGGTCTCTCCTGTTGCTTTTGTTTCCATTCGGGAAACACCGCAGCCCCTTCGGGCTTATTATCTGGCTAAACGACCGACCGGTCTGGGCTTTAATGGCGACCGCAGCCGTTGGGATAGGTTATAATATAGGCCCGTCTGGCCGGAGGGCACGTGGTGCAATACCGTGGCGGCTTCCCTGTGCGACCGGCCGAGATGTCCAAAAAAGGAAAACGAGATTTACTCCAAAACATTACACCGGCGTAGTCTAAGATACTAGATTTTCTGACGGCTTTAATTCATTCACGGTTTTGCGGTTTGAACCTAACCTAACCAATCCAAATCTAACCTAATCTAACCTAACTTAACGCTAACCGTTGCCTATCTTATTCAAGACTAACCTCCGCCAAACCTTTTTTTTCCAATCACCAAACCAGGTACAATACATCTAATTATCATTAACAAATCATCCAGTTTTGCTCTAATGCGAGGAGGGCTCACATTATTTGTTTTAAACATTATTACATTAATTATAATATAATAATATTATAATGGACATTATAATATTATTTTATTCACAACATTTAACCTCAACCTAACCTAACCTAACCAATCCTAATCCAACCCTAACCTAACCTGACCTAATCTTGTTTAAAACTAACCTCAACCTAACCTAACCTAACCTAACCTGAACGAACCCAAAACAAACTTAGCGCTGACCTAATATTTGAGTTTAGTTTTTTGGGAAATCGGTCATCGCAAAAGCATATTTTATGGTAAAAAAATAGGTATATTGCACGGTGTTGGCGGGACGTGCGTTACTACCTTGAACGGATATTACACGGCTTATTTAGATGCCTAATTGTATTGCAAATAGCCCGAAACGCAGTGTTGACAATATTATTGCTGTATCCATTTCAAGGTGAACTCGAGCAAATAAAAATGTGCGATGATATTATTGGCGATAGTAAACGTAAAAGATAAGTTTTAACGGCGACCATAACATTCGGTAATTATTATTGTTGTAATATCTAGCAGTAATAATAAATGCACGGGAAAAAATTAACCGGGACGGATGTGCCACTGTTGCGGTTGCAAACATACTATTTTTTATATCGACTCACTTTATAGTTCATATAGACTACCGAACAATATACCAGTTGAGTCAGTAATAAATTGCTAACTGTTCCTCTCACGTGGCGCCCACGATTAATAAAAAATAAAATAAAATAAATGAATAATATATTCATTGCAACAATTCACAACCGTGAAACAAAAAACAATTGAGGTTTAAAAAACCAATGTATATTTCAAAAATAAATCAAACAAAAAAACCTTAGCTGAATTGTTAATGATCATGTTAAACGAGATATTATTTCATTGTCATTCGAGTGTTAAGAGACTAGCAATATTATTCTTATTCAGCTAAAATACTACCGACTCGAGTTGTGTTTGTTTTGGTTTTTATCTTATCGCCAAAGTTTTCTATTTGGTTTCGGCTGAACCGTTTTAATAATTATTATTATTGCGTTCAATAAATTAAACTGTCCATAAACGAACCCGGAGACGTTTTGTTTTTGAGTTTGTTATTAAGATAATAATCACAGAAAAGTACCCAAACAGTCAAGATGATAAATTTAACATGGCAAATTATGGCTGGTCTTATCTTAATTTATGGCTTACACAAATAAGATGGTTTTGTTGTTTAGTCACAACGATAAATTTAACTCGGCCAAATAAATGGTAATATATATTTTTTTTTTCTGAAGGCCGCCAAGTGTCATATCGAACAAGACCAATTTTTATAAACATAATATTATATAGATATATATAATTTCTTAAGAGCAGTTTTAATGCGTTACGTTATAAGGTTAATTCGTTTTTTTTAGCTGGCTGGTTTTTTTTACAACCCGTTGAATATTGTGCAAGTAATTTATATTATTATGACTTAATTAATACAGATTTAGATAATAAATCTAATTACTGTCATACTAAATAGTATGAAAATATATTTTTTTTTTCCGTAGGAATTGATAAAGACATTTTACAAATACTCTTTATACCTAAATTTTCCTAATGTTTTCAATAATATCATTTTTTTAACTATTGTGTTTTTTGTGTGTGAAATGTGATCTGCAAAGATGGGCCTTAAATAACAAACACATTCTCGTTTACTTACTCAAATATATTTTTATTTAAATACAAATCGAAATAAAATATATAAATAAAAACTCAAACAATACCTAAAACTAATTAAATATTTTTTTACCTAACTATTACAATATGAAATATATCATTTAAGTTGTTTTTTTTTTGTCGTTATAATCAAAATTCTAAATCAAATAGAAAAAATATACTTGTGAGTATTATAAAAAAAATTAAATAAATAAACAAAGTTATGATTTGAAATAATTTATGAACGAATGTACAATATTATACATAAATTACTTCTTTATTGACAAATTATTATTTGTGATTTAACTTTTAGAATAGATTTATCCTTTAGGCCAGCAAAAAGTGGTGTAACTCCAAATTTTTAAAATATACATATTTTTGCTTGATGGAGTCGTATCTATCATTATTTCAAAATTCAACTACAAGTAGATAATTCACCTTTACAATGAACGACACGTCATATTAAGTTAGCAATCCGGTTTAGTTAAATTGTTTAGGTTTTTTTTTCGGTGCAAGCAAACATAATTATATATTCCTCGGTCGCTCACACAGTTGTTGTTATGCTTTCATTGGATCGTGTGTCGTTTGAACGATAAGTAATGACAACACAGTGTTCAATTAATGTAAATGCGACGGTACCTACACGTGCACTGTGCACAAGTCATTGAGAATGTTATTAGATAAACGAAAATCCGGTCTGATACGCTTGTAATCCGTTTGTACGACACGCATACAAAAAGGATTATTAACAGAGAGGTTCGTCTCCGAAGGGTCTATCAAAGTATGATAATACCATTGCTTGGCTTCCACCCAACGGTTGACTAAACTCAATTCGAGACGTTAATATGTACATTTATTTCTAACAACAAATTATTTTCTACAAATGGAATTCATGAACTGGCAAAAACCTATTTTAGTGTACAAAAAAAAGTAAAAGTTGGCAAAAATTGCATACAAACAATAACACAGTAATACAATTGATAAATAAAATATAATCTTGACAATAAATGGACTGTAGTTGTTCAAAAAAATTAATTGTAAAACGTACAAGTTATTCAAATTTATTTTATTCGCTTGACGTTTACTTAAGGCGAACGTTGTATTGAACGACTTTTTTAAAGTATATCATTTTACTAGATTGTAAGTTTATTTATCATGGGCTATTATTTTTTTATATTAGGTTAGTTAATACTATAGTTTTTCTTTTTTTTAACATAATATAATAATATTAGTGAACATATTTTTATAACAAATTTTGGGCGAGTATAAATGTAAATATAATTGAAAAAACATTATTTCAATACTACTCGTCCTTAGGTAAAAATCTTTAAGACGTTCTAGTGCGATTGCATATTATTGTGTGCCGCTGGAAATGGGCGCAGCAACGTTATTTTGTATGCGTAATAGGAAATAATAATAAAAAAAAAAAAAACACTGACTATAGTGACAAACACCGTGTTGTGACTGTCGCATAGATCAAAGCGTTCTACATACCATCTATAGAAACTAACCAAACAGTTCACCCGTTGCCAACGCAAATGGATCACTTAGGTATATCGTCATGTGTGTGTGTGTTACGATAATAATAATTAATGTGTGTTGAAATCGAGCTAACGTAACAACAGCTGTTGCGGACTTTATCTAGACAAACAGTGGTGTGACTTGGATCTTGGAGTAAATTCTGGGTGGAAGGAGGTCAGGCAGATAAAAAAATATAATAATTGATAGATCAGTTTTTTTTTATTATAAAACTGATAAAAAATTCAACAAAGTCATAAAAAAAATATTTATTAATTTATTTTAAACGCGAGTCGGCGACCACGACGAACGGACGCTCCTTCTTTTACTTTCTATTTCACAGACAGTTTTAAATACAGTCTTGAGAACAAATAGCTTGTAAAACTTACGGTTAAGGCCGTCACATCGGTTTAGTTGAAAATGTTATGTTCATTTCAAAAGTACTAAAATTATAGGCCAAGCTTTACTTACAGAAGTATACGGCCAAGCTTTACTTGCAGAAGTATACGACCGTAAGAGGTATAAGTTTTCCGGCTAATAGATAAAGTACCTATTCAAAAATGAAGTATCGCATTGAAGGTTTAATGGTTTCGAAGGACTACTATAGCAAAAACCAGATTGTTAAAATCATTGTACTTGCGTTAAAATAAATTAAATAAAAACTGTGATAATTGTTCAAGACAGCTGTTGTCTTTGACCCGACCGTTAACGGCGCTAAACGAGTTGGGTGTTACATATCTTAAGTATACGCAGACAAATAATAATTATCCAATTATACTTTTTTTGTAACTATAATTATTTAATTTTCATCAAATTGGCTTAGTATCAGTCGTTTTTCTATTGTCTTCGAATTGATTCAATGTTTGCGGGTCGTTTACATTGAGAAAATACTAATTTATTAATCATGACCTGTGTAGAAAACATTTTTCACTAGCAACAGACATTGAAATTCGTATTTGGCGCAGATCATGGAGGGTTAGGTTAGGTTTTTAGTACTACCAAGCACATAATCTAAAAAAACTAAATTGGCTTCAGAATGTAAATTCTATCGATCGTCGGTACATATAAATATTGATCTGTACACTTTCCATGATGATTTATTGTACAATAATAATAAACGAAACGTTGTTTGCTCGAGTAAAACTTTTGATTTATCGCCCTGGCCATATTGTATTCTTTTTTTTCCATCAACCGAACGAGTAGTGAAAAACAATTATTATTCAAGTTTTATGACTTTAAATTATCCTCGGGTTGCCAACCGCTTGGACGGTGGTGATATAATAATCATACTATGTTATTATCGGCTCTTACATATATTACACAGATTATGATACTCCTTCGTGTCACTGCAAAACGTACACTGCCATATTTGCTCCAATGCAATGGGCCAAAACAATATAATAATATAGGTATTAAGATTTATTACAGTCCCTGACCTTATGCGCATAATATTATGTATAAGAAAGCCAACTGTATGTTTGCCCAACGTGTACCCGTGTACCTACTGTTTTTTATTATTATTATTTTCTTAAGTGATGCACAGTAAACGCACACTCGAGACTGACTTAAATTTTAATTTTTTAAACACAAATTTTTAATTATTATTGTTCTCAAGAGTCGATTTAGGATGTGCCGTTAAAATTGTGTTGTTGTTTATTGTGTTTACAATAACACAATAGCAGAGCTGTTCATGTCTGTCTGGAGATTTATTTGTTTTATTTTACATGTATAATGTGTATATATATATATATATAAAAGAGGAAAAAACAAATTGTTATTTAGAACCGTGCACGTCATAAAAATATATTATTTTCCCCTGTGAAAAAGCATGTGTTACATATATGTATAGGTACACGTTATAGTTGGTATGTATGTAGTTTGAATCGTAAACAAATAAGACAATAAACATAAAATAAGATATAAGGTCTTAAAATAATTATAATACACTTACATAGTATTTTATTCTGTAAGGTGAGTTTTTCATTCAGGCAATATTGCTTGTTGTTTTACTAACTTATGCCAACCAATCGCCAAAATACTGGCGATTGGGTTAGGTTAGATTGGGTTAGGCTGATAGCATTAAAATCAAAATTTTTGTGTTTGAATTTTAAACCTATATTTCTTTTATACGAAAATCTTAATTGATGCAAACTGGCTATAGTTAACAGGCGTATGCAATGGAAAATAATCGTTCAAGTGTATTATAATGCGGTCAGGTTCATTATAAAAAGAAAATAGTAGACGACGTAAAGATAATAGGGAATAGAGAAAGTTAAAAAAATTCCTTTAAAAATAATTTGTAAAAATTTCTAAATAGCACAATCAATTTTGAAGCAAAATGTTGTTTTATAATTTTATTAAATTTGGTTATAATATTAATGAGTACGTAATTGTATTTTAATGTTAATAAAATGGAATAATTTGCCAAATATTTTATAACATAATCTAGCTTACAAGCTAACTCCAGCTGTTGCACATGAATCTAAATTACGGATTACCTATTTATTAACTTAAACGCCCTCGCTCGCTTGGACAAAACCAGATGGTACACTCCCCATGAAAACTATGTACCTAATTTCTGAAAATGTAAAAAAATCAAAAATCCTCCTCAACTCGGTGTAACCACTGGTAAACGAAAAAATTTCCCAGAACTGAGCATCACTGAATAAACAGAAGGGAATCTCTATCGAAAGACGATCAGACATATTGAGATTTAGCACTCGCGGTGATACTGAGAACTGAGATATTTCTTCTTTTTTTTTTTTTTAATCTTTCTGTGATTCACGGCTAAACCTGCCGTTTTTGGCGTTTTAGTACTAAAAGACAACAATGGTGTCGTCGTTGCGTTCCTTGTGTTCTTTGTGTTGGCCTCGTTGTACTTAACGACCCGTGACCGAACCAAAATATTCTTGTTGCTACACATTTGGTTGGTTTTCTTCTCTCGCTCACTTCCTGTCGCCCCCCCCCCCCCCGGGGCTTGACCGACCGGTTCCTAATCGCCGTTTCACCCTTAATGTGCCCGCAGAAGACACGTTTCAAATACACGACTGGCTGCGGTCAGACCCGAGGGTCTGCGGTGGCGGAGGAGGAGCAGGACCAGCTGATTTCGATCATCACCTGTACCACCGGGTCCGACCCGTATCGCCGGTCAAGAGATACCATCAGAGGATTTTCGGCATCAACGTGACCGGCAGTGGCGCCGGCGTCGGAGGAGGAGGCGGTGGTCCCGACCGTCGACGACAGCTCAAGTCCATGGAGTCCCTATTGGGTCTCAGCGACGAGAACCTCGACAACCAGGTAAGCCTTGGTAACTTGCTGACACGTGAAAGATCCTAATCCTAAATCCTCTCACTAAGTACCCCCAACTGACCACCAGACGTCTAGACGTTAGAATGTGTACCAGAGTTGTAACGATTTGGTGAAGACAATGATTTGTCGTGCGCATCATATTCCACCGGACGACTGGCTTCTTCTTTAGGACACAAATTAACAAAAAAGCCAGTACAGTGAGAGGACATGGCATAGTGGGAATGGAGCATGTTGGAGGGAAGAGATTACAGGTCTACAGGAACATGTTGCCCTCGTTGTCCATGTAATGGATCTATTTTACAGATACCCGTTGATTGTTTAAAACGGGTAGATTGAAAAAATAAATATATAAACACATTACAAATGTTATTTTAATTTGGTTCTCTTGTAAAAAAAAAAAAAAATAGCAACGCCTTTTTCGTATTAAGTGTTTGACTAGGTCAACGCGGTTAGCCGAGACACTATATATTATAATATTGACTTAACCATAAGAATAAACGTCATATTTTACAATTGGATAATCTTGATGGTTCCCACCAAATGGGTCAATGCTTTAATGCGGTTACCGGAAACCGAACCCTCGATTAATGGCCAGCTTTTTGTTTTTATTATATTCAAATGACTTGACACAGTTTTCGGTATGATTTTTTTTCGAGCACTCTTTTTTTCTACTCGAACCGACTTGAAATCATTGAAATTATTCAACAATGTATCTGTTACAGTAGTGATAATTAGTGTAGAAAACTCGACGGGCACACTAAATTACTGTAACGGTGTAAATTATGATAATAATATGCAAAGTTTATATGATATAATATAGAACAATAATTACCAACACAGTTGGACAGCAGTTATGATTATTATCAATGAAATTATACTCTGCGTACCGGCGAAATGTAAATATCAACAACTTTTGACCGAATTAATATGCATTCGACCTCGTTGAAACCCAATGACTGATGTGCGGATATTAAATTAAATTATAATGCGAAAGGGGCACACATGTGGTATTCAAATTTAACCAGATGAAAACAGCGTACAGAAAATAAAACTGTCCGGCGTCCATTGTCTGGATGTCGTTGAATCAGTTTTAGTCTTAAAACGGATCATTGATCAAAGCTGTTCCACTATTGTCTTTTCTATAATTTTGACGAATTGGCTTTCTTCAGATCCACTTTTCCACGGTATGATACTATCTTTGATAGAGCTCTGGAAAAGCTCAGGAGTTCGTATTGATCACCCTTCAGTTGCTGTAGGCCGTTATCTGTTCTTCTTTGGAATCTATCTCGTGTCATCCTTATATCTAAAACGTCTCTGAGGCTCAAGCTCCTCGTGTATTTCTTTTAAGGGCTCCGAAGTCGTTACCAGAGCTTCGCCGGACGTGCAAGACTCGTTGGACCGAGCTCTGATGGACTTCGAAGAGACGTTGGCGCTGGCGTTCCAGTCCAACACGATCGTGCCGCCTCCCAAGGGGTTTTCCAACCATAACCTAGGTAAGTGCTATCGAATTTCCACGTGTGACGACCGCAGTATTGGTACTATTTGAAATTTGAATTCTAGCCGAAGGTCTCGACGAATGCAGCACCGGCAACAGGCTGGACAGCAGCATCGAGAGCAGCTACACGACCGGCAGCAGTAGCGGCTACTCCACCAAGCCGGACCAACCCACTTCCACGGTGGCTTCCACACCGAGGTCCTTCAACACATACAACGAACTCCAGGTAAGCATATGCGTGTGTTTGCCCACGTCATGACTTGGCCGTTTTCACGTGTTACACAAACCGTTTTTTTTGTTTTTGTTTGCACAGCTCGTCAGAGAACAGATGATGGAAAGCCTGGAGATCATCAGAGACCTGGAAGAACAAGTCAAACTGGTACCCATGTTAAAGGTAGGTGCATTCACGTTGCTCAGACGGATTGGGCGTGGGCGCTCAATTTACATAAAAAAAAAATTACCAATTTCCGTTTTCAAATTCGATCGGCCCCGAACAAAACGTACTCACCGATCTAATCCACACAACATGATTTCCACGATTTAGGACAATACCGCCTACAGTCTGTGTTGTTATTGGAATGTTCGTGATCACATACTCCCACGTGGCGTTTGATCGGACAACATAAAAAAAAAAATACTCGTTAATAGTATAATAGGAATACCGTGAGCCGCTTAGAGACTGTTACTCAATTAAAATAAAATAATTACAACCGTCGAGAGCGGCGATCACATTCAAACTAAACAAGAACAACGTTTATAATGGTGGTGTATCAATGGAAAACTATCTGTGGTATAAGCCACCATAGTTGTTAAGCCATACGGTTATAAATATGTTTCGGTTTGTTTTCATTCATATAATAATTTAGCTAGAAATGTATTCGAACAATACACCACCAACTGGCTGTGTAATTAAATGGCCAGCTCCAATTCAGATGGCGATAGTTGGTGTTCATAGTGCACGTGCTGAGATTAACTTGATATTATTATTATTATATCCTTTTATGTAACTTGATGGTTTGTTGCTGTTGTTGTTGCAGGCACAGGTGGCCACGTTGAGTACGGACAAACAGCGACTGTCGGACGAATTGGACAGACACAAATGGTATGCAGATGAAGAAAAGAGAAAAAACAAATCGGCCGGTAAGTTATTATTATTATAATAAGAAAATGATATTATTATCGTAACTTTTTTTTATAATACTCGTTTGTCCAAAAAAAAAAAAGCGCTGTTAGTAAAATACTTGCACGCGAACGACCGTTGTCTTATGGCAAATGGGTTTGGCCGTCTCCCGAGCCATTAGGTACCTACATATTATTATAGTATTGTAATAGTAGGATATTATTATTATTACTATATTATATGATTGTGTTGAGGACCACTCACACGAGACGTTTAAATGGCGTTCTCTTCGAGAGGCGTCAACGGTATCCGAAGGACGAGATGAAATTCCGGTGCCAGACGTGATGCCCACACACAAAGAAAAGACTACCAAATTTAGTTGATAATATCTAATTTAAACTAAATCAATTGAGTTTAGATCAAGACGATTAATTAGAAAATGTTCCAGATCTGTTTGGGACAACGCTGTAATCCACGGCAGTGCACACCTTTTGGGGTGAACGTTGTTGTGTTAGATTCGAGTGAAGGATAATATTGATACTTATTGCAGAACTAAATTTTTACTTTTGAAAATGTCTTGATCACGACCCCGACAAGGTGAGCAGCAAGTTGTTGTTGCATTACATAATATTTATTATTATTGATCGATAATTTTATTAAAGACTATATTGCAAAAACGGATACAGGAAAATCATCCGATTGCGTTGACTGGAAATCCAATATGCACCGATCTCTGATGATCACAATATGTATCACAATAATATTATGTTGTCTTCATAACGTGTATTGTATCGTTGTTAGCATTAAGTTCTTGGTGTAGTAATCATCGTTGCTCGAGGCCAACACTAGAAAAAGCCACGGTTGTCAAGGCGCATTGAATGTACCTAACGATAATGTATTTTACAATAAGAACGTGGCAGACCCGACGCCAATGGCGAGCATTGTGTACGGCCAAGTGATATTAGCCAAAGTGTTGTGGAAGTTGAATGTAAACAATAGAAAAGAAATGTATTTGAGAAAAACGATGGATCCAAAACACAGTGCTTAGACAATAAATCTGGCAACATAAAGATCTACAACGAGGTTGACAACCTGTTGGGTGATTTGAACAACATGCTGTCAGACATTTAGACGAATTTAGAGGTACAAGTATATACACCAAAAAAGAGATAACTGACAGCTGAAACCCTTCTTTTTTATAATAATTATACACCGGCGATAACAATCAATGAAATCGCAGTGTTGCTCAGTTCTGAAACAACAATAATTATTATTCTACAAGTGGACACTCTGAGTTGAGAAGGGTTTTAGACTTGACCGTCCCATATTGGGCCACGGTGAAAATTAAACATAACTGAAAATTAAACAAAACAGGAATTCAAATTCAAATTCAATAGGTACGTGTTCAAAACCTCTACTCATCTCTCAACAGTGAACATATTATATTTTCACACTACACCGTGTAATCCCCGGATCGTGATCGAATGCAACCTATACAGGATTTAAAATTCATCGGGTGTTTCTATTATTATTAAAAAAAAAAAGTAAATAATGTAATGTTTGTCGATATTTGTAGATTATAGCAATCATATGACCTAGTCTAATAATTGTATTTTCACCGGCATTCAGACTTTGTCGCCAAATTACTTTTGGACACTATTACACCCAATAGAGGTATTGGATAAAAACTCATCAACTAAAATAGACAATGTCGAATGACAATGATGTTATTATTATAAAAATTTAAAAAACACAACCCCGGATGCTCGTTGACGACGATACCGTCGTGTTCCCACGACGAATGGACCGACAAACGGATTTAAATTTTTTTTTTTTTTTTTAAGATGATTCGGATAACAACACACACCGTGTGCGGTCACTGTGGAGACTGTCGTAGCGTGTGCGTGACAATCATATTGTAATCCCCAAGGCCGGAGGAAAGCACTTAGATGGCAATAATATCGTATGACGGTAGTGTGTAAAATAATAAAAAAAAATTTAAGGCGAAAAAAAACTCTGCAATAACGTTCACCGAGCGAAATATTGTATATATACTCGGCCAAACGTCCCAAAAAAAAAAAAATAATAATAATATCACTGGCCCGATCAACTGGGCGGAATTTAATTCAACAACAGCTAATAACGAGCAACCCCAAATAAAATCTAATATTGAAATAAAAGTACACATTCAGTAATTCATAAGACAAGTAATTTTTAAATAATTGCAATTTTGTAGTTTTTTTTTTCATTTGGGAGACGCATATTAGACAGCTGTATTCAGATTTACCTATGCCATATTGTTCCATTAAACACTGAATCAACTGTCTCGGTATACTTTTCATTAGACATTTTTATTAAAAAAACTATACTAGAAAATGGTCGTTCGAATGACCTAATATTATTTGGTTTTTTTTTTCATTTAAATAATGCCCAACTGTGTTTGAAAACATTCAGCAGGACGAAGACGGTGTGAAAAAAATGAATTTCCATTTTCAACACAATCAAAATATGCTCAATAATAATAATGGCATTATTTTTGCAACCTTTGTCTTTGCTGCAATGCTGCCAAGTTAAAAGCCTGTAATTCCCGGTACAACTGCTTTAATGGAAGTTCAGAAAAAAGCGGATTCGAAGTCCGTTAGTTTTTTTCACAAAAATAATAATATCTTAAAAGAAAAAACGTCGCCCGACAGTCTAAATGCGATTTAATTTTAATATATCACTTCTCGTGACCCAAATACATCTTGTTTAATGACTATAAGAATGACTACACTTTTAATAACAATAATTGTATTATTCAATAAATTAAAATACAATATTTCATTTTTATTATTATTTATTATACATTTTCTGGCTCATACTTTACTAGGTACTACATTTTTTAGTAGCCAAGAAATAATTGAATTTTAAAACGAGTATTGTCCTTTATTCCCAAGTACCTCGCATTTATTTTGAATTATTAATTTAACACTAATAAATAATAATAATATAACTCGATAAAGTTATTATAAAAGTCATGACTCAACCAAGCCCGAAATATTGGACTCAAAGTATTATTATTATAATATATATAACTTAGTAGATTGCGAAAATATAATTGATTTATATTATTAAAAGTGTGCTAAACAAACTTGGGTTATGATAAAATGAATAATAAGTGTTTCTCGTCTTCGCTTAAGGGTATCGTCTATATTATTCGCTCTTATTTTTCCATATATATTTTATTATAAGAATTTATAAAATATTATTACAGATCACTAGAATTTTGGTCAAAGTAAATCAATAGTACTATATAGTTCTATATATATATACATAGTACCGTGTGATTGGTTAACTATAGCTCAGTCAATAACTCCAAAGATTATAAGTTTTTAATTGTTTATATAACTTTGTCTATATAAGACTACTGTATAAGTATAAAAAAAAAACCAAAAATCTTCTAAGTGGAACCATAGTTAACTAATCATCCGGTATAGTTTGTATGATACTAAAAATTATTCTATTCAGATTTGAATCTAATTCGACTTTTTTTTAAAAAATTATTTTTGAAACTAAGCATGTATTCATTTTTATTTTTATTTGTTTTCCAGAACGTGAGTCGACGGAATGCCAGACGGACAAGCGGCGTGCCACCAAAGACGTCGCCGTTAGCTGCGTGCCGATATGCCGGGACGTGGGTGTAACTACTCCCCGACCAACGGCTGTGGACACCCATAGCTCGTCCACCATGACCGATCCGGTAGAAACGACGCCGTCCATCGAGCCGCTGTCACCGCCGCCGGCGGCCACTGCCATCACGGCGTCCGCTTATGTGCAGACGGTGGAAGTCAAAAAGCCGACCACGGTGGACGCGAGCACGCAGTCGGCCAGGACGGCCGCCAGGACTGTGAGCGTCGGCGTGACGGCCAAACCGAGGACGTACGACGCCGGCGTGAGCGTCAGGCCGGTGGTCAAGCACTTTGGGTGCACGGCCGCCATCAAAACCGCGGTGGACGACTGCGGCGGCGCTCTTCAGGTGGACGACGCCAAACCGCCACACCCGACGGCCGTCGTCGTCAGGCCCGTGGCCCGTACCACCCAAACGGACGCCAGTCCTCCGAAAGTGTACACCGTGGGCCGTACAACCCAGACGGATTCGCGACCCACAAGGGTGCCCTGTTCGCGGACCACGCAGACTGACCCAGGCCCCCAGCGGTCGCCCGTCACCAGCACAACGCAGACGGACCCGGGCCCCCAACGGGTGCCCATCGGCCGAGCAACCCAGACGGACCCGGCGGTTCGCAGGGTGACCAAAATGGCGACCACTCAGACGGACCAACCTAACGCACAGCGCGTGGCGCCCTCTATCGGCAGAAGGAGCAACTCTTTCCATCATTACACGCCCGTCAGGAACACTTCGGACCATCCTATGGCCAGGAGCGAAGGCACCGTGACCATATCGGCCTCGAAGATACCCAGGCTTAAGTCCACTTCAGCGGCGACCACGCCCGAACCTAACCGAAAGGTTTACAGCAGACAGGACACGTATACCAAGTCCGCTCCCGAAGTAGTCCAACAACCGGACACAGTCACCGTAGTCAGGTAAGCAAGTGTTTTCAACAACTTGAATAGGTATGCTTTTTTTAGCTTATGGTAAAACAAACATTTGCATCACACGAAACCGTTAGGCTCAGTTATCACTAATCATTTAACGAAACAAAAATATATTATTGATAAGAGATCGCTGATTAGATGTTTAGTGATAACGAAGTGATAGCAAATTAGTGATAAGGGATTACAAATTATTATTTACGAATCTGTAAACTTTTTACAAACTGAACTTCAAGCATAGTTGTTGAAAAAAATTGCTCCCCTATTTCTCCTTCAAAATCTATAATGATTGACATATTTTTCTACTTTAATACGGCACATTTCCAAAAACATAATTTATAAAAGTAGTAAATATAATTTACGTTTATAATGTATAATTATAATTATAATTATTAGAATAAAACATTCAGATGACTTTGTAAGCAACTCTAAAAATAAAATCTTAAGCTTGACAAATTCATCGAGCTCCATCGTGTATTGCGCAAGCAATTATCAAATTATTTGCAAGTTATTTTGAAAATCTGTTATCTGTTTAATAATTGTTAATTAAAATATAATATAAATGTATAATGTTAATATTTCATAATATATATATCAATGTGTCATGGCAATGAGTTAGGCATAACCAACGTTATCCAAATATAATTAAGTAACAAAATTCTATGCACATTCCATGCAACATTGAGCATGCTTAAAACATTAAAGCATGAATACATCATTAGCAGTTATTTTTTCTCTATAATCTCTTATCAATTATTCACTATTAATCGATTATCTTATACCACTTATATCTTATCAGCTGATTCTTTTATCAATACTCAGTTATCAGTTGTTCAGGGTTTGTCGATTTTCTATTATTATTGTCCCGTCCCTGGTATTTCCGCTAATTGACCTCAGAAATATTCATCAGACAAATAAAAACATGCTTATGTATTAACTCAAAATTTTGTAAAGATAATTTATTTGATAATATAATTTGTAAAATATACTCTCTACCGCCTTTTTCTCCTCTTCTCCACGCCGTCGCATTAAAACCAGTAGTGGAACATTTGCCGTATTTGTATTGGACGGGTCGACGTTGAAGATGAGGTCGCATATGGCGATGGTGGTGGAAGGAAGGTTGAGGTCGTTGACAGTCCGTGGAGAAAACACCGGTACCTTCGCTGAAGAAACGGCTTGTTTTTTTCCGGCCAAGTAGGTATTGGCAGCATTTTTAACCGGATAGTAACAATACTGTTGCAAAAAACAAACCGTCGCAGAGCAAACGGATGTACGAGCAGTAAAATTCTCTATTATGGTATTCGCTCCTTTATCCGTTTGCTCAGGTTTAACCAAAAGGAATACACTGACTTGTTTCTTGACTCAATCGTTCCAGGAGTGACCCTTCTGATTTAGTCGAAGGTACCAACCAATTTTAGCGGGCAAGGATTTTGTACATTTATTGTTTTTGGGAGAATTGGCTTTAGTCAATTGTGATGTGCGTTCTCTTGGAATTTCACACTTGTCAAAATAATATGTAATTCTACTTTAGGCCGAACGTATCTTGTCAATGCTTTTTATTTCTTAACTGACGGTTGACGTTGTCTGAATACTACAAAAACGTCGTTTCTTTTATGTACGTATGGATAAAATAGATGATGAGATTGCCATAGACAGAGATGAAGAGCATTGCCTGCCGTTGTTCTTGCTCGACCGGCACCGTTTGTCAGCACACAGCCAGTATGCGGTTAATGCGTGCACGGAATATTTCAATATAATACTACAGTCGTTTGCAAATAACGTTGACAGCATCTCACCACACTGTGAATTGCATAGCCGTCAAATAATTCGCCCTAGGATAAAATAAAAAACGTTATGACCGTGTCGAATTTATTAGGCAACCTCATCGAAACTCTTCCATCAATAACCATCGCCGTTTGTGTCGAATTTCAAGCAAAATTGAAGGCACAGCTGTTATTAGCATAAAGTTATTGTGTGCCAGAGCACGTTCACACTTTCAAGTGTTTTACCACGTGTGTTCTATCATTGTGCAACGAGCAGACGCTTTTTTCCCAGTGATCCAAGTCCCTCCGGATAAATATGTTTTGAAAGTCAAATAGTCAAATTTAAATTATTTTTTCTCGGTCGGTTTCCTAATAAAAACCGCATCGATCTTGCTCTCATTAAATGAATACCCAATGTTTTCAGGTGTTGTGTAATTGGCAAAAAAACTGGGTTTATTGTCGTTTTTATTTATTTTTTATAATATTAAATATAACAAGATTTAGAAACCATAATCAAGGAGAAACACACGTTGCTCTCTTGCCCACCCCTCTTTTCTCTGCTCGGGTCACCCTTGAATCCTTAAACCTTATAGTTAAACCATCTGGCATAATAATTTTACGGTTATTGCCGAGGGTAATAATATCAAATGACACTGTACAACGTGTGACGGCCATTATTTTGCACTCAGGTCACCACATACAGTATTCGTCGTATACGACATGTATTTCCAAATCAACCGACAAAATGGCCGCCGTAATCGTTAAAACATTGTCCTGCGTTTATTGTCGTGCATGTGACCGGCTATAAAACAACTGTCATTCTGATGAGCTGTTACAGCTGGGTTTTCATATTTTATGGCCAACAACTTTCCAATATGTTTGAAAGAAAAAAAAAATCCAAAATATCGAAAAAAATTGTTTTGAAAAACCCAAAAATATTAATTATGGAATAGGTATGATGTTGAAATTTATGTAAAATCAGTGCAAAAATCAATGTATACGAATTAATCTTGGAATTTTTCTTTTAGGATAATATTTAAGGGTACTTGCATACTATGGTTTAAAAATACAAAATTAAAATTAAGTAAAAGTAAAGTTAATTAAGTATTTATCAGATATTAGATAACACCTACGAATTTATATTTTAAGTGATACATGGATATGTTTTAGAACTAGGTCTATTTGGAATTTCATCTTCAATATTCCGACACTGTGTTAGCATATAATTAGGTTAGGCTTAAGTTAGATAGATTCAAAGGAACAGTTTGATTGCATCTTTAGATTGTGAAATATTAATTATCACAATATGATAACAACAAAGATAGTAAGAGATGTCTGATAACGGCTCCTGATAAGGAATTTACTATCAAATAAACACTATTCTGATTTTCCAATTTTAAAACCATTATAATAATATACAAGTACCCTAAAACATAATATCCCAAACGAAAATTCCACGATCAATACATTAATTTATGCAATGACTAAATTACAATCAAACCTATTCTATATATTTTTAGAATGTATTTACTTTTTTAGCAGTAGTTTTGTTTTGTTGCTAAAGTAGGCAGCGAAAAATTGTAATTTTTAAAAAAAAAATACTCAAGACTTATTCAGCTTATAAAAACATACTGCTTTTGGTCACTTTTTATATGGAGTTCCCGACCACTGTGCAATGGTCATTGCAATTATGTTATATTTAAATATAAAAATAAACTAAAAAGTATGCATGTTCAACAAATGTTTTAAATTATTATGGATTTTTACTTAAAATTTATATATTTCCTTGAGGCATATCAAACCGAGTATTGGATTTCAAACCGAAATGCATATTCATAACATATTGTTAAGGTGTTTGTCTTATATCGATATCGAGACGAACCGGTTTCTGTTAGTCGGTCGATCGAAGATGATTTATTTGCATTTAACGACAGCCGACAAAATCCGCATTGACCTATTCGAAAAATAAAGTAATTCGACACTAATCCGTTTAAATTAATACTGTACAACGTGAAATCCGAGATGTGTTTGGAACAATATAATATAGTTATTATTATGATTGTACATGCAAACCCAAAACAGCAATTTATCAATGTTATTAAATTCTTAAACCGAATGGTGTATAATTATGCGTGTCACGACTGACATAATAACACAATATACATATTAGGGCAGACAATTATTATTATTAATGGCCAATAACAACAACGTGTAATTGACTAGATTTAATTATTTGAAATGGAGCGATAGCGTTATTGTGTATTTTGCTATCATTTTGTGTTGCCCACGTCTCACACGTGAACAGTATACAAACGACCTAATTTCGCCCTTCGAAAACATTAAAAACATTTAAATTTTAAACACCGAGTTCAGATAAAAGCTTATATATTTTTGTCTGATACAAAACAAAGGATCGTTAACATTTTCTTCTCAATCCCCACGTTAAAGAGACAGTAGGACTATTTTAACACAGCCTCTTCCATTCTCCTATTTTACCATTGACTTGTTTTGAATTCAAATAACGTGTCTTGCTTAAGTGGAAAAAATAATGAAAAATAGTGAAAATTATCAAATATTTATCTATTGCACAGCTCGATGATTGTAAACAACTCGAAAATATAAACAAACTTTAATAATCTCAGAACAGTGTGACGAAAAAAAGAAAATAAATAGTAATTCTTTTGTAATACAGTAAGGACAAAGAAATGTTATCAAAAATATGTAACGTTATCACCATCAACCATCGTTGATCAACTACTTGTTATCAGTAACAATTATTATCAGTTTGCTTTATTATTGTAAACAGTGTGTCTAATATTTTCGTCTTTATTATTTGGCTCTACTGTAGCATTGGGTAAGTTGAAACCAATCAAAAATCGTTATTTGAAAATCTATCGTTTTATTCTTTGAAGAGCAGCTATCTGGTTTAATTTTAAACTGTGGTGTTATCCTTAACGAATCCCCGTGTTGTGTCGAACTGTTTTATCATTGTAATTTTTTTTGATTTAAGTAAAATGGGTTTCTGAAGTTCCAAGAAAAGCCATAAGAGCCCGTCGACGTGGAAGATATCAACCGAAACTCTGTTTGCTCACGGTAAAATATAAAATATGTAATACCGCTTTTCCCGTAACATCATCATCGTCGTGCTGATGACTTCCCAAAAAACATTTTTTCCTCCGACAAGTTATCCGATGGTGGTTTTTATAATATTATTCTCTGCGAGTTCAC